CGTTAGTAAATTGCAATATACAGGTGATACCTCCTTGCTTGCTGAAAGTGAAAAGGTCTAAAAATATTTGCTGATGAAGGTCAAAGACTACAACCTTCAGTATGGTTTCCATATAAAGGAAACACACATCCTCACAACTGGACCAGAGAAAATATTCAAGCTATCAAATAATTCATTTTCTTGGATCCACAATGAACACCCAAAGAAGCAGTAGTCAAGAAATCAAAGGTCGTATTGCATTAGGTAACTCTGCTGCACAAGACCTCTTTAAAGTGTTCAAGAGCAAAGATGTCAGTTTGAAGACTAAGTTACACCTAATCCAGGCCATGATATTTTCAGTATTTTCATATACATGTGGAAGTTGGACAGTGAAGAAGGAATGTCTTAATGAACTGATGCATTAGAGATCTGGTTTTGGAGAAAAATATTGAAAGTATGACAAACTATCAAAAAACAAGCAAATCTATGTTGGAAGAAATCCAGCAAGAATGATCCTTAGAAACAAGCTTTCTATCTCAAGCTTCAGACATGTTATCATGGGGGCCCAGATCCTGGACATCTTGCTTGGTAAAGTGGAGGGTCAGCAAATGAGAAGACTCCCAATGAGATGGATTGGCACAGTGGCAGCAGCAATGGGGTGAGTATAACAATTGCAAGGTTGGCGCAGAATCCAGAAGTGTTTCATTTTGTTGCTTATGGGGTGGCTACGTGTCAGAACTTACTGTAAGGCACCTAACAACAACAACAACAGCAACATGTGGGATGATTTTCAGATAAATAAAAGCAAGTATTGCCATAAAATAGAACATTCTTAGACAATGGAAAAGTATATTGTTTTATTAGGTGCCATCAATTGTTTCCCACTCATAGTGGCCCTATGCACAATATAATGTATCACTCACTGTCCAGTCCTTTGCCATATTCACAGTTATGTTTGAGCTCTGGAAGACATCTGACAAGAGGCAGATATATATTGTTGTTAAGTGCCATTGAGTTTGCTAGACTTGAATTTGTTTATCCTGAAATAGTAAACAACATAATGTTTTAATTCAAAATAGCCTAGAATCAGCTCACTAATGCCTAGAATATCAATCATTTGTGCTCCATTTCATTTTTGATAACTCTCAATTTTCATACTTTGTACTAGATTCATAGTTCGTACATTCCATGTTCTGATAATTAATTGTTACTTGAAGCTCTTTCTCATTTTGACTTGTCCCCTATCGGCAAATTAAGGTCCTGAAAGCACTGTTCTCTTCACATCATTATGAGCAACTCTACTTTGAGGAGGCAGTTCTTCCCTATTAATATTTTGAGTGCCTTCCAACCTGAGGGGTTCATATTCTGGCACTACATCTGGCAATGTTTTGCTGCTATTCATGATGTTTTCATCTTCTGATACTTTGACAATTTTGACTGCTATTCATAAGGTTTTCAGTGGCTAAACATTCAAAAGTAGTGTGTCTCTTCATCTTCCTAGGCTGTTTCAGTCAGTCAGCTCCTCTGAAATGTGTCTACACTGGGTGATCCTGCTGGTATTTAAAATACTGGTACACAACTTCCAGAATCACAGGAAAAGGCAAGCCACCACACTCTGACGAAATGACTGATGAGTGGAGCTTAAATTTCAAGTAAGCTGTTAAAAAAGTAGCTTTATTTATTTCAGTTTCAACATTTTAGAGCCCTTTTGTAATGGGTTACAAATATTCTATTTCTTAGACTTCCAATAATTCACTTTGTTTTACCTTCTAAGATGGACTTCCCTGATACTTTGATGCCTTGCTAAGATAGGTATTTATATATTTTTTCTGTTTGCTGAAAATGCACAAGAGGCCAACAAACCTTGTGGTTATACAAAGTGATATGGAGGTCATGTCTGACTTCTTCTATCTTCATAAGGGAGAGGGAGACTCAAAATCAGAATAAGTCCAAGACTACGTCCTATGAGACAGAAATCAGATATGCCCTTCACCCTTCAACCTTCCTTGCCCTATTCTGACACCAACCCTCCTGCCCACAACACTTTCTGCTTCACATTTGAGTTTGACAAACTGTTGGAACGGCGCACAGAACTCATAGACAATAGTCGTGACTATGGGGTTTATTAGGGAAGTGAACAAGGTACAGCTTAGAATCAGAAACAACCCAGGATGCAGCATACCTCGGTCATACCTCAGGCATGTCTTGCTCTTGTCTTTAGCCTCTTGGACATGTGGCCCCTTATCCTTTTGCTGTACTCAGGCATGTGTTGCAAAACTCCTTTAGTCAGTCTGTAAATGTCCAAACGGCACACTCTACAGGCCAGGCTGCTGTCTGTAGGTACTCAGCTTTACGTAGTGCATGGTCTGGGAAGCCCACAGCTGTTCTGTCTGTATACTACCACCTTTGCAACCATCCCTTTCCAGGTAAGGATCTCATGTTTCCCTCATGACTCTTCCTTCTTGATGGTTCTGGGATCATCTGTTCTTGCTTCTGAGGTGCCTCCTTTTAAATTTAGCAGGATGCCAAAACTAACCAATCCCAGCACCAGAGTCTTATATACCCTATTACATGTTCCCTCCTACAACTCAGAAACCCTATATCAAGGTAATTATGAGTCAAAACCAACTTAACAGCCCTTAACAATAAGACTTTGGATAGAAAAGTCGTATCAAGTAAATTCATGATACCACAGGTTTTTTATTGATCCAATATAGAGATACAACAGAGAGACATCTAAGGAAAGTTCATTCTGACTCTTCCCTTTCTTGAGTAGTAAATTACCTAGGGTAATCTGATTATTATCCTATGCTGCATTATTAGGAAAAGTAACGAAATTTAAACCTTGCATATGTATAAAAAGGTGTTCCTCAAGAAAGTCCAAGCTGCAGTGTATTGAAGACTGACTTTGAATGTCAACTCCATTAAACTAATTACTGAGTAGCCTTGAGCAAGTTACATGGCCACTCTTGAGTCTCAACTACAAAACAAAAGAATAAGAGAAATAACTAGTACATGTGGCAACTAAAACTAGGACATAAGATAATGAACACAAGTTTTTGTTATGTAAACAAAAATTCATCCTACATATATGGTGTTATTTTCTAGTATATACTTATATTTTTAAAAATTACTAAGTAACCACATGTCTTTGTTGAGTATCTAACTCAAATGATCACTTTCCAAACTAAGTAGAAAACATATTGTTAGGAAACTTTGACAGTAACAAATGAAATTTTTCCTTAGAGTCAGAGTTCTCTTGCAGCAAAGTGTAGTGGCATTTTTCACTGTAAATGATATGCAATTGAAAGAGGGTTAATTTGCATATTATCTATTATATCTGCTGTGTATGTCACTATTTTCCAAGGAGTTGGTATTCACTTTGGTTTGGGAAAGTTTTTACTTGTCATTTTTAGTTGCTTAGGGTATTAAAACAATGTCTCTTTATGAATAACTTAAACTTCAAGCCCAATTAAAAACAAAACACACAAGCACACACAACAATATTGTTAACTTTCTGAACTTGTATCCTCTTTGCACTAAAACTACAGTAGATGCAGTTTCCTACAAATAATACCTTCAACAATGAATTTAAAAGGAATGCCTCATCTATATTTTATAGTAAATTATCTGCTTCTAGATATGAAATATGAAGTGATTTCTCTGAACAGGAATTCATGAAGATCAGCTGATTTATATTCTTTGCAGTCTTGGGTATCTCTCAGCCTTTATTGAATACCAAGTTTTTATCAGTCACTGTACTAGATGTAGGATTCCAGGAAACAATAAGATGATTTGCATATGATTCAGGAAAACCCAGTACTTAGCTTAAAAAACATCAAGCTTACATGTTGGTGGGTGGGCCTCCATTTCTTCCTCTCTACAGTAGGTTCCTATAAAAATCCTAGGACTGTACACTTCAGTAGGTGAAGTTGGTTCTGTTTTCCACAACTGCTTTTGTAAAATATTAGTTTACATATTTTGTTGTTAAGTGTAGTTGAGTCGGTTCAGACTTATAGCAAACCTGTGTAGAGTTTCCAAGGAGCAGTTGGTGAGTTTGAACTGCTGACCTTCTGGTTTGAATTACAGTGCTGATCCTACTGTACCACACCATGAGGCCAGCTTAGATATAAACTGGGTCATTTTTTCTTTCTTTTTGAAATGCAGATAATTGTATAGGATGTTCCTTATAGCAAATGTGTAAAACATAGAAAACAAAAGCCTCTTCCTATGAATTGCTGTTAGCATTTTAATGCATTTATTTTCATTCATGTCTCTGTGACTAGTTTCACTTGAGGAAAAAGACCCTGTATTTGGCTTATCAGCTTTAAACCCACTACCAGCTGCTGGTAGGACCAGACAGATTGAAACCAGAACAAAATCAGAAATTTTCAAAACCCAGGAAGCAGAAGCATCCCAAAGGCCCTGAAACCTCTTTACAATCCACGTTTGCTGATGAAGATGCTTGCAAAGGCATGATAGCTTCAGGATACATTTCTGGACGCTGCTCACTTCTGCATCCGGCGGATGATTATGAATTTGGAATTAGAACAGTATTTTAAACGCCCTCTCCAGATCACCTTTCTTCCAAACATTTTTGTAATCAGGTGAGGGGCACCTGCCTGTGACTTTAAGCATCTGATCATCTTTCCCAGTGAATTCGGGCTCACCTCTTACATCTTATGCCTGTTCAATTACTGGCCGATTAGATTTCCTCTCACCCTGCCCCGCCCCTCGTTATCTTGGGGAGAAGCGGGAATAAAAGACCAGCTGAGGCTAGTGCACAGCCGGGTGACCACAGCACACGGGGCAGCCTCTGGGCACTCCCTCCCTCTTCCTCAGCTGCCTCCCGAGCGAGTGACAACGCGCCCTCCGGGCTCAGAGCGTCGGCGCCAAACAATCTCGGGCAGGGCTGGCCTCACCGGTGACATCACTCCTGGAGATCACTCCTGGCTCCCAGAGACTGCCTTCGAGAATCGTCAGTCTGTTTGTCCACCTCCGTTTGTCCGCCGCTGTAGAGGGCTCATCTCCAAACAGGGACTAGAACCGGGCACCGAGGAGCGACAGGACCAGGAGGAGGCTAGAGAGAGAAGGCAGCAAGGGAAGGAGGACCCCGGCAGGCGACAGTATGAAATTCAGCCCCGCACACTACTTACTGCCTCTCTTGCCGGCGCTGGTCCTCAGCACCAGGTAAGTCCAGGAGCGTGAGTGACCTAAGTAATGAACAGTGCCTTGTGAGGTTGTAGGTCATCAGTGGGGACCAAGGACAAACCCTTCAGCTGTTTGCATCTCCTGCCTAAGTTAGAGGGTCTGTCTTTGATTCCGGCTCTGAAATCCTTCAGAGAGGAGCAAAGCCCTTTTCTGGTTATCCAGTCCGTTGAAGAAAAGTCTTAGAACTGCTCCCAGTGTGAGGAAAGAGAGATTTTCTATTCAACGATTACATGTTTCTTTCCAGTCCTAATAGTAGCAAAAGGATAACACGTAGGTGACAAAGAAGTCAAAATAAATAAAGGAAATAGAGAAGGACATAATTGTCACAAGACAGTGCTTATGTTGAAACTGTCTTAAAAATTACAATACTCTGGTTTTAGGGTACAGAGAACCAGGGTAAACAGACTGAACTTGGAAGATTCTAAACCTTGTACAAAAGTTCTTGGACTCCTAAAATGACTTGTTTCAACGTTTTGAAGATAGGCTGTGTGGTGGGGAAATCTTTCATTTACATGTGGCTATCTTGTGAGCATGTCTAATTGAAGAGCACGCAAAGTGATTAAAAGTTAGAAGACACTTTCAGAGTGCTGATGCAGAGACCCTACTCAGAAACAATTAGGTAGTGTGTTTCATCTCTGACTGTAGATGGAACTTGAAGCCCAAGCACAGAGGAGCTATTTTTAGTGGAGGTTTAAAATGCTGTGATGAGAGGAGTTTTGTGAGTCGGAAGCTGTTGGTCAAGTCCCAAAGTTGATGATGGGTTTGCTTTTTTCATCCACAAAAGCAGCCACAAAAGTGGACTGTTTTCTTGCCCAGGGCTGTCTTTATTCTGCATGTCCCCTAGTATCACATTGGCAGAAACTTCTTTCCCATGGCTACTATATAACAAAATTACCCATACAGGATGAGATTCCTTTGAAATAAGCAAGAACTGGAACATTTAATTTTAAATGTGATAGAACATGAAAGGGGAGAATCGGGTTATATGTAATTCTGAAATTAAGAAGGATGAGGGAAACTCATTGTGGCTAAGAAATTAAGATAGGAAAATTCTTGAGCTCATTCCTTGTCTCTCTTTCAGGCCCATGTAGCTAAACTTTCTTTTCAGTGTGGATGTATTTAATTTAGGCCCAATAGTTCTATATTTAATCTTCTCTTGCACGCTAAGTCCAGGTGAGCTCCCAGGTTAAGATGTAATGTAACAAGCTATGTTCTTCATTTCCTCTAAGGTTTGCTTGTCACTGTTTCATAAAATTTAAATGACTTTTAAGATAACCACTTTGGTCTCCAGTGTGATAACAACTTGTTCCAGTTATAATTTTTTGGTAAGCTCTCAACAGTGCAATACAAATTGTGTATCACAGTTATTCTTTGAAGTTTTTGGCCTTTGGAGTTGTGGATTAATAATTATGCATAGTTTTTTCTAAAGAGAGGACATTTTCAAAGTTTGTATATTTAAGTAGATGCCTGTCAATATATGCATAGAATGGTAAATATTTAAATGGAAACTTAGCCCAGAGTCGTTTTAAAGATAGTAAAAAATCTTAGTGTTTCAAATATGCATTTGAGTTTTTAAATATGCTATAATAAAGTGTCTCAGGGTCCTGGTGTGGCACTGTGAGTTAATGCGCCAGACTGCAAAGCCCTTTGAACTGTAAGATTGGCGGTTCAAGCTCACTAGCTGTTCCTCGGAAACCCTATACAGGGTCACTATGGTTCGGAACCAACTCAATGACACTTCACAACAACAAGAAGAGTGTCTCAGAAAGTTCAACAGTACCTAACTTCCCAAGGTTTAATGCTGGTTACATAAAACAAGGACAAAGATCAGTCACATTCTTTTTTATGAAAATGTTAATTTCTATGAGGATTGTTTTTGTTGTTGTTGAGTGCTCTCAAGCTGATTCTGACTGATAGCGACCTTGTATAGGGTTTCTGAGGAGCAGCTGGTGGGTTTGAACTGCCAACCTTATGGTTTGCTGACCAGTGATGATCCAGTGGCACCACACCATGAGTTCTTTCTATCCTCTTTGAAGATAGACCTTTTAAAATATTCAACTCATATATTAGAACAAACTTTAAAGTAATAACCCTGAATCACTTCAGATATGAAGTTTCTAAAATGTTTATTATATGTGAAAATTATAACAGGTTCTTTAAATTGACTTACAGTGACTGAGTCATCAAAAAGTACATGTAAGAGCTGAAAAAGTGAAACCATCATCATCAGTAACATGTCTTGTTAGTGTGATGATTCTGTAGTGTTTATTTTATTGGACACCTAGAGTACTTTGTCACTGTGAGCATATTTCAAAATGAATATGATACTTTCAATATGTCATTTTGCAAGAAGAGATAATGTTTTCTAACAGAAGGTCATTCGCTTTGCAATATTTAAGAGTTTGGGTAAGCATATGGTTAATGAGCAGGCTAGAGCCTAAACTGAACATGTTTGCAAGAACAGTTGCGTTACAAGAAGTGAGTTTGTTTTCCTGCTGGGAAAAATTGTGTAGCTCAGCTATGGCCACCTGTGACAGTGATTTTCAAGCCAAAGAGTTCTGTTAACTTGATTTCTTAGTCAGTGGTCCTGTGTGTGAAGAAAATGTTAACTCCTCATGCATAGACTGTGTTGAATTTATTAGCAGTGGGTGACAGCTGCCATTTTTTCCTATCGCCTTTGGGTGATGTCACCTGTCTTTTATTGTCAAGGTCTTTTCATTGTGTGAGGAATCTGGAGCTGAGACTTGAGGAAAAGTATGTTTGTTTTGATCTCTCTCTCTCTCTCTCTCTCTCTCTCTCTGTGTATAACTCCTTAATAACTTGATATTATCCTTTCCAATACATCTTAATTCTGTTCTTAGTTCAGTTCTGAAGGGTTGTGCTATCTGAAGCAACCTGCAGTTACAGAAAGGAGAGTCACTGGATCATAGTATTTCAGGCACAAGCATGAAAACTCTAAAACTATTCTGTCCTTGAAAGCAGAATTTTTAAACAGATTTCTGTTTGCTCCCCTTCTGTATGGCTTTTTTTGGTTTTGTTTTTTAAGCAACTTTTCATACTGAAGCACAGAAAGTTCCTAATTGTCACCACAGTAAACATCATCAGTGCCCTCCAATCAGAGTTGTCCCCCAAGAAGGTAAATGTTCACTTTCAATAAATAATAGCTGAAATTTTTTCTCTGTTTTACTGATAAACCCCATGGAGTTAAAGAGAGCTATTTAATTTCTTAGTATATTGTCTCTCCTCTTTAGAAAGTGCTTTTCAACTCAGAAAACGCAAGTTAATGATATGAATAATGTAGTTAACACAGAAAGCTATTTAACCTGTGCACAAATAAATGTGGTCAAAGAAAGCAAACATATGTGCTGCTTTAATAGCTGTAGAGTAGAATGACTGTATTTTTTAAATAGCCTCATTCTGAAGAAGTATTAAATTGCTATTCCAAGTAGCCAGTAATTCACTTCAGAAAGAAGTAGTCTAGGTATGAAAAAGAATGGTAGGATGAAAAATTCTTTAGAAGTTCTTGGTGAATAGGGACCCATGGAGTGCTGGAGAGGGCTTGTGCTTTAGTCTCCGAAACCTCTGTTCCTTTATGCTGTGGTTCTACTCTTGATGCCTTTGGTTTGTTAAGTTTTAAATGACTTAATGGGGAGAGAAGCCTGGCAGGAGAAGAGTGAAGGTCTACTCCTGGTGGTTTGCAGGAAGCAAGAATTTTAAACAGATGTTTGGTTATAGTCCTCCCAATAGGAATCACCTTAGAGGTCTCTCCTGGGCCTTCTTGGCAACAGTCACGTCATGTTTACTTTGGAATCTATTCTTAGGTAGTAATATATATTTAAGGTGCCCTCAAGTCATTTGAACTGCAAGGTTGGTGGTTCAAGCTCACCAGCTGCTCCTTGGAAACCCTATACAGGGTCGCTATGGGTTAGGATCAACTCGACAGCACTTAACAGCAACAACAAAGCTCCTATTTACTCTTGTTTTAATCTAACATGGGATTAAATTGATTTCTTTTTTCAGGATAGAAAAAAGGACAAGAATTATAATCAACACACAATAAGGACCCAAGATATTTATACTTGAATTAAATGTTAAGTAGGGAACAGTCCTACTTTAACTCCCCAGAGTGAGCCTCAAGTGATTTAAGATGTTCTGTCAAGCCCTGTGCACAAAGTGAGGCTGTCATACACACCTCTTTTATGACTCTGGTGATAGTGTGCCGTGAGTCATTTCTGACTCATAGCGACCCTGCATAGGGTTTCTGACGCTGTAAATCTTTACAGGAGCAAAAAAACCTCATCTTTCTTCCGTGGAACAGCTGGTAGTTTCAAACTGCTGACCTTGAAATTAGCAGCCTGACTCATAACCACTATGTTACCAGAGCTCCTTTTTAATGACTCTACTTAACATGTTTCCATTTGTGACAAGATTTGTACCATTCTGTAGTACTGAGTTAAGAGAAATGTCAAATGTCTTTCTTTGGCA